GCCATTGCAAGTAAGCAGTACCCCAAAAAAGATGCGTCAGTTCACTCTTCGTCGTCATCGGCGTGGGGCCCGGATTGTTCGATTAGTCCATCACGATTCGTCTCAGCGTATCAGCAACGATGGATTGGATCGGCCAGTTGAATGCACCTGTGGGAGACTAGGAGGACACCATCCTACTTGAACCACCTATATGCTCCACGTGAACAATGAAACAATGTTGATTTCATTTTGTATTAGCTTTTTCAATTCCTGTAATGCCGGTGAACGGAGAGGGGCATCCGGCATGAGCCAAAGAAAAACAAAGACGTTGAAATCACATGAAATTACAGTAACACCACCATAAAGCCTCATTTTTGTTTCTGTTCAAACCATCCATGTTCCCCGGCACTCACCATCATTCACCCAAACGGCATCTCCGCCTCACGGTGCTGGGTCCAATGGGCCGAGGTGAAGCAGAACTCAGATGGAACCAACTCAGTGTCGGAGACTCAAAGTCATCGATAAGCAACAACTTCCACAGATGAGCTGAGCAGCCACGATTTGGATGGTTTTAGATGTTTGCCCAACCTGTCAGGCGAGGGTGTGTCATGACGATGGTTGCCCTGCCTTCACCTTTCAGGGTGGGGATCACTTGAAGTAGAGCAATATTTTTCTGTCAGGGAACAAACGCCAGACACGTTAAGTTGGCAACAGTGAACCAGCCGAACTACCCCGACAGAACAAACACTGGCCCCACCTGGTAGCGAATAAGAGATGGACGAAGGCATGAATTGCTTCCGCTGAGGTTTCTGGCTAAGGTTTGTTGATAGAGGGTGTCGGTCCATGTTCCTCGATAGAGCTCCGGTCATTGTAAGGGACTCACATTTCCTTACTACTCTTTGGAACTCTCGGTTTGATACATCACGTGATCTACATACCGACCCGGCTACGGAACTTTCATGGACCCTCAGAGCTTCAAGGCGCCCGTTTCGGCCCGGACACGAGGCCGGGACTGACGGAGCGGCCCGTGAAGAGTGTGGAAGAGGTCTTGGAGTACATGAAAGAGGCGGGCAACGGGTCGACTGTCTCAGTTGGGAAAGATGGCGCTTCACTGGGGTGATTCGCAGATGTTCCAGAAAGTGTGGCACCCGGTTTTAGGAAGTGGATGGACCCGTCCATAGGAACAATTCCAGTTCACCAGGTCAAGCAGTGGTGATGAAAGGTGGACTAACACATACTAACACCATGGACCCCAACAAGCACACATGGTCCATATGGTATTTTCTTGTGCTAGATGGTCAATGCACAGTGTTTTCATCATCCTTCCTCAAATCACCTGAGCCCAAGTCTTGTCGTATTGGCCCCATCTATATTCTGATCGAAGGGTCCCCTGATTGAGCATGTATTGAAATCCAAAAACTACCCATTCGGGCTGCATATTTCAAAGAAACCTAGGGTTTTGGATGGGTTTGGGATGAAGTATAATAAGTTTGCCGAATCCAGGAAAGGTGATCGGCCCTGCTCCGTCAATGCAGCTTTTTCAACATCCGTAACATATGTTGAAAGTGCGAGTCTGAAAAAGTGATAGTAAGTAGGTTTTGTCAACAGCGAACACCTTGCTGAATCAGGTCCCCTTCATCAACCCAGCGGTTTCGGCTGACGGTTCTTCTTCAATCCTCGCCTTTTGTGGTTCTGTCCAAAAGTTCCAAAAGAAAGCCACCACCATGTGGTAATTATATATATATATAAACAATAAGCTACTAGGAACAAGTGCATCGCTTTTAGTAACAAGTGCCTTACTACTAGAAACAAGAAGCTAGTAGAAACAATATATAAATTAGAATATATATAAATATATATATGTATATTGATCATTATTGATCCATTTTCCCCAGGTTTCGTTGCACTCGGAGTGATGTCTCCGTCCAGGCACAAGCCAACCGCACGGTGATGGCCACGGAGAGCGAGCTGGGCAGAGCTGGGCGCAGCTGCGGGGCTGGTACCAAGCGGAAGAGAAGATGGATTTGAATTTGGACGAAACGGATGAGAATGGTCATCAGTTCCGCAAGTCCTCGGTTTTCTACGAATCTCTAGGATTTGGTATCCTATGTTCTTTTTTTTGCGGTATATGTATATATGTGATATGCCCAGAAGGATGCATTGGGGAGCATCAACTACATGTGATTTTTTGGTGGAATTTACCACCATAGTTTCACATTGTCGGTTGTTTTTTTCGGGTGTTCCGGCGGTTTCTGAGAACATGATCCTGATGTGTATACTGTACCAGTACACCTTTAAAGTGGGGCCGCCAAGCAAAGCTCCACCAATTGGACGTCGCAGACACCAATAGGTTTCGTTCGGAAGACACGACACACTGAAACCCGGGACGACATGGTTGGTTCACGTGGACCTCTCTCGACTAGACCTCTCCAGGTTTTGACGGTTCCAGTTATCGGTTTCCAGACAGTGATGGTTCAAATGTTCAAGAATGCTGTGCTGAGTGAATGTTTCGTTTCTTTCAGTACACATGACATATGGCAAGTAGGGACTATTGCAAACCATTCCACCCTCTAGTGCTTTCAGGGCACCAGAGAACTCTGTGCTTGTTTCGACCCCTTACCAGGGTGGCTGCCGCATCGGCAGGACATGAACGATGAGTCCAGCCGTTCTCACTCCATTGTGCAGGTTCCGCCTGGTGAGTCTAGGTGGTTTAACCGGTTTTCTTCGACCACTTGTTCCTAGTAGAAAGGCCAGGAGCTACTAAGTAGCGTCCTTGTTCCTAGTAGCAATGCCCTTTGCTCCTAGTAGCGTCCTTGTTCCTAGTAGCAATGCCCTTTGCTCCTAGTAGCGTCCTTGTTCCTAGTAGTAAGGCCAGGAGCCCCTAGTAGCTTCTTGCTCCTAGTAGCGATGCCCTTAGCTCCTAGTAGCGTCCCTGATCGTCCCTGTTCCTACACATAGAGTTGATGGGACCAGTTCTTTGCACCGTCCGGTGACCGTCACATTCACCTTCCGCTTTGTGCAACGGTCCGGTCTTCGATCATCGGATGAGTGATGGGATGATCAGCGGACCGGATCCACATGACACATTCCGAATCGTTTGAGAGTCGTGGTTTCCATGAGAAGGGACATTTTTAGTCTTTTTGCTACAGAGGTCACTGAACCAGGGCAGTGATTCCTGAAAGGCTAGACTGTGGGGACATGACTCATTGATGAGGAATCCGTCGCCATCCAAAACTAGATTCGATGAACCTCCAGCACCACGACATGGAACAAAAACGGATGCAAGTAGCCAGACATGATCCACTTTGCAATGCTCGGGATCCACTGATTGGGAGATCCCCAATTCCACTCGCTGGGGATCTCGTGATTCGATCGGATCGGATGGGTCAGGTGAAGACGGTCAACGTCGGAGCGCCCGATGACTGACGAGGGGCGGATTGCCGAGGTTTGGGCAGGCTTGGGGCAGAAGTGCTGGAAGAATACACGGTATAATATTGTATACACAATTATACATTCCAGGCGCAGGTATGATATTTTTTCTGGGACTCTAGCATTTGAGGCGAAGTATTCCTGGGAGGATGGTTGAACTGGAGCTAAAGGCATACAATGACATCCGCAGGATGGTCCGCTGAGAAGTACGATTCTGTAGGATCAACCTACTTCGCACATTCATGAATCTATTGGATTTCAGGCATAGTTGTTGCCAGTCGTTGCCAACACCTGAGTCCAAGACCCAAACGGCTGTTGACGCCAAGACACACACGCGCGCGGATGCCGCTCAGGTCAATCGAAAGGACCAGACTCAATACCTCGGGAAGATCAACCTCATCGATTTGGCAGGCTCCGAGAATGTGAACAAGTCTGGCGTGCAAGGCCGGGCCGCAGTGATTGAACCAAAAAGGAAAGAGGATGGATGATGGATGATGGATGATGGATGATGGATGATGGATGATGGATGATTGATGATTGATGATTGATGATTGATGATTGATGATTGATGATTGATGATGATGATGATGATGATGATGATGATGATGATGATGATGATGGGAACATATAGTTTCACAGGATGAGAGAAGGTATAGAGTTGGGGAGAGTAGGGCCAAAGTTCCAAAATCAATGGGTTCTTCAGATGCAGATCCTATATGACCCATATATACCTACATGATCCTATTATCAAAATATATATGTTCTTGCACACCACGAAGAGCCTGCGGACCGCATCAATGAACCACCATTCACCGCATGTGCTGTGCTAGGACAGGGCATGCGTGAGGCGGGGGAGCTGTGCAGGAATGAGCTACTTCAACGGGCTGGGAAGTATCTTAAAGCAGCTTGTCTTGCCTTGTCACTGGACAATATACCCCTTGCAACAACTATTTATAGTTTATAATGTAGACAAAACCCACACCAGAATGAAAGACAACATCTCCAATTCGGGAGGACTACAGAGTTCATCCACTGGATAATAAGCTAATGGATTTACCGAACTCTCAAAGTGTGTCTCCTTGTAGGTTGGAGGCCATCGCTCTTAGGTTGGGGGCCATTGCACTTAGGTGCCCTTGCTCGTTTAAGTGAGCTAATGGATTTACCGTTTGGTTTTCGCTTTGTCCAGTGGAGTCCGGTTCTGGCTCACATGCCCGGGGCGAGCGCCCTTTCTCGCGCGAGCTTCGAGCGCCCTTTCTCGGAAGCAAACGGGGCGACATCAGGGCTCAAACGCTGTTTGAACATGATTGAACTATGTAAATGTTTATTTTGTTCGCATTTCACTAAACTACTATTTTGTTCACATTCGTATACATTTGTTGTATTTTGTGCACATGCTTCAAAAGACATTCACATCACCTCGGTGTGCGCAGAGTTCTTCACTCGACATGCTTGCGGTTGTAGCCATTTGAAAGACCCTGCAGTGAGCCTTGCACATCATTCTATTTTTCAGCCATTGTTCAAGACTGAAGACCCTGACTCATAATCGCACATGTCTCAAAGACTCAAAGACCCTGAAGTCTCGCGCTTTTCCCATGGCCACCTTGATTCTGGACAGCGATGAGGAAGAGGATGTGGTCATTCTCTCGGAACTCCCAGCGCCGAAACCAACGAAGCTGGCCCCATACCATGCTACCTTGGGCGTTTTCGGTGCTGCTACAGATACAGCCCGGCACTATATAGCACTATTCACTTGGCTATTGTTTTGGGGGGATCACCCAAGGGATGATTGAAGATGTTGTTTGTATTGATTCTGCTCTTTTGTTGGGCTGGCTGCAGTTGCAAGGTCTTTTGAGTCTGTTGATGGTCTGATGTTTGATTCCATCCAACAGCTGCGGGCTAGAAAGGCTGCGAAGACATGCCCAGAAAGTCCCAAGGCAGTTGGAACCCTCAGGGCAAGGTCTACTGACATAGAATCTTCATGAATCTTCTGAATTTAGCCATGTATATAAATGTGCATTAAAAACACATCTCTAGCTAAACGAACGGCTCACCTCCATAGGTCTCACCATAATGCCATAGTTCTTGGTCTCCAGCTCTACAAGGTCTCCATGTCTCACCTCCTCGCTCTCCGGCTCCATGGGTCGAGAATTCTCAGGAAGCTGACGAAGAGTAGTAACAAGAAGCTAGTAGTAACAGGTGCCACGCTAGTAGTAACAGGTGCCTTACTAGTAGTAACAAAAAGCTATTAGAAACAAGTGCCTTACTAGTAGTAACAGGTGCCTTACTAGTAGTAACAAAAAGCTCCGGCTCCATGGGTCGAGAATTCTCAGGAAGCTGACGAAGGTTCAAAAGAAGCGACTGAAAGAGAAGAAGCGCAGAGAGCGCAAGAGGCTCGAGGGACCTCTCAGGATGGTGCGACTGGAAGAGATGGACATACATCCCACAAAATCCTTTTTACTTAAAGGGGGGGTAGGCCGTAGAGGTAGCAGCTATAGGGGTAGCTAGTAGTAGCTATAGGTAGCTAGTAGCTTAAGTAGCTACTAGTATGGACGCAGGATAGCTCACGCTTCTTCAAGGAAGCCCCCCCGCCAGAGGGCGGGGGTGAGCTTCCTTGAAGAAGCGCTCGCACTAATGATTTGGTTCCTAGATATTTTCACTGCTGCTCAGGGTCGTCCGGTGCTGTTATAGATCCTCCCAGAGGCATGAATATCTGAATTTCAAGAAGTTGGGTTTTGGATGGTGTTGGGTGTAGATGCGTGATTGTAGAAATTGATTCCATGAAATGAAACGGATGCGACAGCCCTCACCACAAAATTCCTCACTCAACTCCCAAAGATGGCTTGTGGCTTTTAAAGTACCGGTGACTCCTCAACCCGGTCGGGTCGGCCATTGGGGAAAAGACTCATGTTTGCTACCCTTGCCATTGTGCAGCGGGCGGAAGCCAAAATCTGTAGGTGTGACTTATGTGACGTTATGATAATGCGTTGGTGACGTGGTACGTCCTGTTGTTATGTTGTCATATGTCCTGTTGCAGTGACGCTATGTGAGGCTTGTGTTGGTCGATCGTTTGTCAATTAAGTCTCACGTTGATAATGTGATGTGTGTTGATATGCTGTGTAATTACTGTAATGGTTTGTAAAACCGACCAAATAGGCTTGACAATATACACTCACATTCTGTACTTTCTTTAGGAATCTTGCTACTTTCCACTGCTTTCCTCTAGAAATCTACACATACCTGTACATGAGAAGTGTGAGAGTCGAAGTCGAATTGCCGGATTAAGGTTGAAGAAGCAGAAGCAATCTGAAGCTGAAAAGGCGAAAGAATTGGCCGTGAAGGCGAAGGCTGCGATGGAGACCTTGTCCGAGGGTTGGTGCGGTGTCCCGGTGTCCGGGAAGGTAGCAAAGTGAACCTCACCCCAGCATCTCCCCTTGTAGGATGCTTTATTGAGAATAGTTATCATGCAACATGTCAGAGACCTCCGTTTTCTTTGCTCGCTTCGTAGCATGATTGGACGTAATTAGACGCTGAACAGCACGATTTGCTTGTTCTAACTTGGTCTACATTTTGAAGTATGCTCCAATCCCAGAACTTGTAGCTGGGCTTTCTTTTCGGTTGGTGAGCCGGTGAGCCAGTGAATGTTTTTCATGCACGTTTGGACAGTGCTGTCAGTGCGAAACAGGATAAAAGCGAGTACATGGTTTCTCTTTTGCGTACCGTGTTGGAAAGATGCAATTCTAGACAAAATATTTAACCTGCATGAAGCAGCTAAAGGGTCTGGAAGTGTCTTGGAATCTAAGGTGACATCTCCATGTCTCTCCGTTTGCTCCAACTCCCTTTTGATTGGACTTAAACTTTTTAACATAGTTCAATCATGTTCACAATTAATTAATTAACATGCTGGTAAATAATTGTACATATATATATAGATATCTGTCTACATGTATGCAACTAGCTGATCATGACACATGTTTTAGAGGTCAACCCCATATAGCATACAACATCCTACAACCAACTTCCTGTTTTTGACCGCACATATACTAATATACGTATAAGTATACAGAAGTGGTAAACTCGCTAGACCATGCGAGGGGTGACTTTATACATGCACTTGTTACCAGTAGTAGCTTCTTGTTACTAGTAGTAATGCACTTTTTACTACTAGCGATGCACTTGTTACTATTCAATATCATTGGAGGTTCACGCGCGAAGACCACACACCGCAGGCGCCCCCGGCGAAGCCAAAGCCGCCGACCAAGAAGGCCAGGTCGACCGCAGCGGCCGGCGCTCCCAGCGAAACGGCGGCCGTGGTGAGGGAGCTTTGCCGCTTGGCGAGGGAAGAAGCGACGTGGAACAGACCAAGGACCGTCTTTATTCGTCGTGTGGATTGATATTTCGGAGTGTAAATGGTTGCAGGGTGGTGATGCTTGTATCTTGACTACACAATCCGTATTCCCGTCAATTCCCCATGTAAGTTGGTGATTTTGGGTCACTATATCCTTTCTGGGGAATCTGGCCCACCCCAACGAATGGCCCTTCTTGAATGGGACATATAGCTATTCTCATGGACTGATTGCCTCAACCTGGTTTCACCCAAAACCCTAGTTTGGAGTTGTACTATACATGCTTTCACTCGCAGTCATTTTGTTTTGTCTTAAGATGGCATCCATCTATAGAGCCCAGACCCCTTTGCTCGTGTTGGATCTTATCTCCCCTTCTTTAGGGACGCCCCCCTAGCGACCTTCTACACTGAGGCTATCGTGTTCGGACGGCCGGAGACTATCCAGCGGCCCTTTGCGCGGAATGCCGACGTCCACTGGATGCGCAGGGGCGCGATGTGGCGGTGGTGGAAGTGGAACGACCCTGGCGCTTTCGGCAGAACGAGAGACTCTCGAGTCGTCGTGTCACCGGACGAGTCGTCGTGGTGTCTTCGTTGACAAAGGAGAAACAGGTTGTGACACGAGAAGAACACCAAGCCAGTCTCTCAGTGTTGAATTGAAAGAGATGTTGAATGTTTGCATGTCTTTATTCGTCATGTGTTCACTGGCCATACCGGATCAGGTATGAAAAATTGAGCTTTGGTGGATTAACAGATGTTGTTGAACCAAATATTTCAATTCTGACAGTTTGTTGCTTTTGTGACATTTGTGTTTCAATGTAGATTGTGTGCCAGAACCCTCAGGGAACCCTCAGGTTATAGAGCCAGACTTGTGGTTCCAGAAGTTGGCAGAACTGAAGGGAATGTTGTGCTTGTCCTTTTCACTAGGAGCCAAAAACGGCCAAAAAGCAACACACTAGACCGGAAACATACCAGCATGGTTGTATTGACAATTGAAGCCAGAACTGATGTACACACTGATACGATCTTGATCTTACACATAGTTGTATCAAGTTGCAACAGTGTTTCTCTTCTGTTTTTCCCTCCTCTGCTGATACAGAGGCTTCGGGAGCCCTGCCTGGTGCATGCACAGTTGTGCTGTTTGGCAGCGGCTGGCTTGCTTCATCCGGCACGCCCAAGCGAGCTGACTCAGCAGCTTGGTGGGCCTGGCTGGGCGGCAGCCGTTCAGGTTGAGCGCAGGGTGGGTGTAGCTGGTTGAAGGCGCTTCAGGCCCTTCAGGCCGAAGTGCGTCATTTTTTTTCAGGGCATAGTAACAAGGTTCGCTACTAGTAACAAAGGGCATCGCTACTAGGAGCAAGGACGCTACTAGGGGCTCCTGGCATCACTACTAGGAGCATTCTTACTATTAGTAACAAGAAGCTACTAGGGGCTCCTGGCTAAACTCCTGACTCCAACGACCGGAGCTGAACCCTTTCGGCCTTTCGGGTGGACCTCTGGACCCTCCACTGAGGCGGCGTCAGCTCTGGGCCCCGGCGGGGCTGATCCAGCGGCCCATGGAAGTAAGGCACCTTGGCTCTACAGAAACTAAGACGCTAAGACTTGGAACAGAAGGTGATTCAGAAATTAGCTCCAATTCAGAAACTGTGAGGTATTCCTTTGTTTGTTCTTTTTCCTGATTTCATTCTCAAGTCAGGCGTAGTGTTTGTTTCAAAGGAGACTGCCCAAGGGGCACCCAAAGTACAGTCTTCAAAGCCGATACACCTGATTGTACATTGCATGGCCCACCGGACCAGGCAAGCGTGAATAGAGAAGTGGAGTCTAGTCAGTTTCTGTCGCTTTCTATCCTTCCCACGCACATTGGCATTCAAACATATTCATTTACAAGTAAAAAGGGTCTCCCAGCTACAAACTGTACACAGACATGACATACCATAAATTTCACAGAGATGTTTCTGCATTCTTTCATGAAACATTCCCCATGGACTGTAGCTGTTGGAACATCCAGTTCAGGACCAAGACCTTGCGCAAGCACTGGCCTTGAAGCAGATTGCACCGTTCAAAACACATGCGTTGGAGACGTTTATATAGTTGAGCCATGTTGAGCCATCCCGAAAGACGTTCTCACACCATCACCGTGTATGCTATCTCATGAGCATTACCAGAGAAGTGTCAACCATCCAGAACTCGAAGATTTTGCAAATCCCTTTCCATCTTTCCCCACCTGCCTCCGCCCACTTCAGTGGTCCTCTTCGCCGTCCTAGGACCAGCACTGAGACCCATGGCGTCCTTCGTTCCATTGGCCTCGCCCCGCGTGCCCGACCCGCTCGGCCGTTGCGACCGGCCGCGGACGGCGAGCGTGTGGCCCGTGGCGCCGGGAGTGGGGTGGATGCAAGGTCCTTGGCTGCTCGATGACGAATGAGTGGATGGATGATGGATCAGGATTGTGGCAAGTCATGGCAAGTCTATGATGTTCATGAATTGTGTAATGTTTGCATGTTGATAAACAGTTCAAACTTTATTTTGGCTCCTGTGCTTGGAAGACAAACAATATCAAACAACTGCATTTGGTGGAGATCTGCAGGATCTGGCATAGTCTGAATCTGCCGGGCGCAGACCAGCACATTTCAAGGAAGGTACAGGGCCGTAGGCACAAGCATCGGGAGGTCTCAAAAGGACGCTTTGAGGCAACCTGCTAAAAGGATCCTGCCTTCACATTCCTAGAACCTCTGCAAATCTCTGCAATGATGTCAGGACTTACATTGATCAAGGTATGTATAGGCCCGTATAGGCTCCTGGGTGTCATCCAACCATTCCCAAGGCCTCTGCCCGGCAGATGGCCGTGGCTGCCGCCCTCCGCGCGGTGCGCCGCGCAGCCGACGACGCGGCGGGCATCCGCCGCCCGCGGCGTGTGGCGGCGACGGCGACGGCCAAGTCGTCAGCTCTGCTGGAGGCGCTGCTGGAGGTGCTACCGCCGGCGCAGCATGCGCATCGGGAAGACATCCCCAAGGGAGCCTTGGTTTTCCGGGTTGGGATCGGAGGATGGGGTTTAGACAGGGTCAATGGATCTGGATGCGCAAGGGTTTGGACAGGATTCAAGTCGGACTGTTGAATGTCTTCGAATTGCTGGAACGTCCATGGACCGTTGTTGAGGTTTTGTGCGGGCCGAATCTGGCTTCCGAGGAGAGTACTGCGCGATTTGCCACGGGAAGCTCTTCAAGAGGTCTCGAAAGATACGGTCCTTGCCATGTGGTCACACGCGCCTTGGTGTCATATGATGTCATATTTATGAGCTTTTCCATGTTTCAGGTGTTGGGCATTTTTGTTCCGTGTTTGGTCCAAGCTGTTGTTGCAGCAATACTGCTTTGGAAGACATCCCGCCGTTCCCTCTCGTTTTGCATGAGCAAACTGTTGGGATTCCTCGGAGTTTCAGCATTGACATGTAAACATATGTAAAATATGCAAACATATATACTTACAGTAAGTAACTTCCTGTATCGAATATACTGTATATATATATATTTTACTGCATAAATAAATACATACATATATAATATACATTAAACGGATCATATTGACCTGCGAACTGCAAACTCAGACTATGGCGGGAGTTATATATCATGTTATATCCACAATCACAATACAATCACACGACTTTGCAAGACTCCTCGTAATGTCATGCTCCAAGAGACTCCAGACGCTGTGTAGCAAAAGAGCTTTTGTGCTCGGAGACTCCTGCATCAGCATCCGCTTGTGCTCGAGGTTTCACGACTCCTGCATCCTCCCATGGCTGTCGAAGAGGGCGACTTGCCCGTTGGACCGCAGTGACTTCAGTGATCTGCTGAAAGAAAAGTGAGCGACCATGTACCAACGAAGGGTGGGACCCTGTGTGAACGACTGGTGGGACCCTGGTCCAGGGATGACCCTGATCCTTCAGAACCAAAGACTTGATGGCGCGCACCTCTAGAACTGGGAAATCAGTTCGCTTACTCAGTGACACAAGATGGGGTCAGAAGCGGTTTTGGCCCAAACTATGGACATGCAGAGTCGTTTTTGCCCGGGTAGGCAGTCATTTGAACAGCTGTGTCAAGCAGCTTGGTGTCTTCGTTTACGGCAGCTAGCACAACAGCTGTTTGTGCTTGAGACTTAGAGCTGGATCACCCAGAAAGCAAACAGGGCTCTTGAAACCGAGCTGAGGGAAGCACACGGAGCAAAGCAGAGAAGCTCAGCTCGCTCTTCAGGCGCAGAACATCAACAAGAGCCTGCTGGCGCTGGGTGATGTGATCGCCTCAGTGGATTTTCGGGCCAAATCAGACTGAGAGTCAGGGTCATGGCCGAAAGTCCCATTGCTGCTAGTGGTGAAGACGATAATTATTTCAGCCAGGAGTTGCGGGGGGAGAGATATTGTATGCGATTGTACTATAAGAAGAGGGACATGGCCCATATTCTTGTGAATCAGTTACATTAACGCTTCTATGTCATCATATGACATATTATGTTTCAGGACGGTTTTGGCTGTGTGTGGCTACAAGAGCAGCATTTTGTTTGCATGACACGAGTAGTAGTGGTACTCATCTGCTAGTGATACAGTAATGCAGGGTTCAGAGCAGATGGCACAACCCTTGACACTGTTTTTAGATGGGCCAAGAATCAAAGTTCAGCGACTTGTGCTATCTTTCCAGTTGTCAGTATAATTGGGCAAAGTAGGCCGATTGTGCCAAGAGCTCGGTCAGGTGGTTGCTGCTTTGCAGTCCAAGAATGGGCATGTGCCCTTCAGGCACGAGTCGCAGACGAAATCAGGAACTCTCTCTCTCTATACATATACTGCATGGGTACAGACCGGTATAGATCACATGGGAGTTAAGGCATCAAGTTAAGTGACATAAGGAATAGAGTAGTTAAGTCCTATGTCATGTCAAAAACATGTTAAACCCGTTGTTGTCGTTTTCACATTCCGGTCGCTGGGAAGCACACACCTGGTTGAGCCCTTTCCCTCAGTGGACATTTTGTTTAGCACATGTTGCAGTTCCTATTGACTAAGCCTGTGAGTAGTCCCCTAGTCGTTCCTGCAATGCATCGCCTTCAAGCCAGCGGTCAGGAATTCCAAGCTGACCATGATGCTGAAGGATGGCGCGCGCGAGAGAGAGAGAGAGAGACTGCGAAAAAAGACATGGCTTGTTCTTCGGATGTATGAGGCCAGATCGCCAGGACAACAGCTGGAGGTTCTCCAAAGGTGATCCGAATGGTCAAGGTATGTGTGTTTCAGAGAATAGATGTGTCCAGCGATATGTCAACAAAGGGGGAGGTTGTGAAGGCTTCCCTTCAAGATATGGAGCTGCCTCAACTTGGGCATCCCTTCGTCACCCCGCCATTGTTGTTGGGAGTGATCGTTATTCTTTCTTTTTTTGCGGGGGTGGGCGGGGAGAAAGATCTATCAGCATCACCTCATCGCCTTTGAGATGAGACACTTCTGAGGACTCCCTTGGAGGCGATTCAAAGACGCTGATGATTGTGCAATGCAGTCCTGCGCGGAGCCTCGGTCGGGACTCGCACGGCAGGACACAACGGAGGTTCCAAAGCGATGGACATCCTTAACTCGAGCACTTGCCTACTTGGCCTACTTGCTTCACTTCTGGAATGAGCACCCCTGCTGCTCCACACCCTGTTTTGAGAGACTCCCAAACATCTTGAGTCGCTGAAAAGGAAAGTAGATGGATTGTGGGACCCATAAGACCTTCAGACCCACAAGCTTTAGTCTATTAATATCTATTTAAACCTTTTACCAAGGGGTTTGGATGGTACACACAGAAAGTCATTGACAATCCATTGGTTGGTGCTGAGTCCCCCATTTGCCAGGATCCCAAAAGCCGGACCGCCCCCCCAGCTCAACCGGAGCATCAATGACAACCCCGTGAAGATGGGGCTTTGTCCATTTTCAGACATTGCGTCGTCGTCATGTCATGTCCACCGCCTTGAAACGCGTGGTGCCGCACCACGAAAACGCCCGACGCGAGCGCGCTTTTTATTGATGTAACGTCACCACCAGGCGCAGCTGAACGTCACCGAGACGACCAGCTCTTTGACCTTCGCCAGCAAAGCACGAAACGTTGAGTCCGGGGCACCCGGCTGCGACGTTCATTTCACGAGAAGCGAGGGACGCACCGAACGGGTGGTCGAAGTAAGCGAAGCACCGAACGGGTGGTCTACCAAAGTGTCTCAAACAAACTGGACAAGGGAGGAAAGATAGTAGTTACTTAAGTAATCTTAAGTATATAGTTGGATGATTAGTTCGGATGACGATACCTTTGGGTGAAGGCTGAAGGAGGCCGAGTTAGTATTCTGTGGCTGGTTTGGGCACCACCAAGCAGCCTTTTCCCACCATTACCCTTGCCAAGCATGTTACGGACATCTTACACCTGGGAAGAGACCCACATGCAACCTGAAGATGGACCTTTGGAAGACTATCCTCCTCTACAACCCAGTGGTTTTCAGGTTCCAATGTTAATTTTCCAGGGTGTAGAATCGATTTCCACAGACTCCTTGCCCTGATGCTACCTGCTCCAACTGCCGACTGTTCCAGTGCAACATAGTGCAAAAATTAGTTTGCGATACTCTCGATGTCCAGATTTTGCCTACACCAGGAATCTATGGTGCACTGTAGCATTCTGCGTGGCTTCATGGTCCACAACTGTGAAACCTTGGAATTGGTGCCTGTAGCATTCCTTTGCAATAGGCGACAATAAGTTGCTTCAAAATGAACAACCCTAACAAGCATGCTTCCCTGGTTTGCCCCTTCACAGTAGACACCCATATTGTGGAGCACATGAGATGCGTTCGGGTTCTCTCGCTTGGTGCAGATCGCCAGGCTGGGCAAAGCCAAGCGCAACGTCTTGAGCCCCTGACGAGATACACAACCTGGCCTGGGAGGATTTGTTGTTTGCTATGTTGTTCAAAACATCAATATCACCTAGAGTGTCACTGGACATCGCAAAACATGGTTGGCATTCAACTTAAAATTTGCAGCCGCATTTTCACACGAAGTATCACAGAGTGATCCACCAAAATGATGGGGTATCCCAAATACCAATTGAGCTTCGTTTACATACTGTTTTGGCCTACCAGCCCCGCTCATTTGAGAGACACCCATGTAGAATATTCACCTTAAGCTGTTCATTGTAAAATCCAGCAGGAGAGCACAAAAGAGCACCTGCCTTTCTTGCCGAGGAAGCTGCCCTCGACTCGAAGGTATCATGTTAAGGGGGAGCATGGTACGATGAGGCTTCGTTGGTCCGACTGCTGCCAAGGGCACGCTTGTTGGAGTTGGTTTACCGGCACCGGCTTTGCTTTTCCAGCTGTTAGCTGCCCTCCTGACAAGAAGATTTTACTTAGAAATGGTAGCCTCCCTTCAAGAAACATGCAAGTGGCACATGATGCGCATGGCCCAAGGAAGACGACTTTCTTCATGTTTTTGCTCTAGAAACTGAGCTCATTGCACGTCGATGGTCGATGCGCTGGCTGTTGCACTGTTCCGGGCAAACTGGGAAACAAGCTCATCAAGCTCAGAGGCACACGATTTGATCGGACACAAATGATTTAATCCGACCGCTTCCATAGTAATGAGCCCCTGCCTGGGTGTATGAACGCTTCGCTGTTTTGTGGTGCCTGGCAGTACTAAGTACACAATGCAATTGATAAACCTCTGCAACTGAGTTTCGGAGGAGACCCAGATCAGCACAATCTCTGCTCCCAAGGTTCCCTGCTTCTGACACAAGATCTATCTCTCTCTCTCTCCTTCTCTCTCTGGGCACTGGTTCTTGGTACCTTTGTTCATGGTCTTTTCATGTCTTGGTTTCACCGGTACTGAAACCGCACCGGGCCTCGCAACTCAGGTGAAGGCGGGTGAAGCATGAGGAACGAAGGGAACTCTGCCACTGATCCATGGGATTTGAGAGTTGAACGTATCACTGGAAACTGGGAAACAGATTGAAACAGATGAAACAATCTTACAGATACGGTGGAACACCTGTCTAGCGTTCTTGATTCATATTGATTCCATCTTTGGCGCTCATCCAGTTCATCATCATAGGCTCCTGGGGGGCCACTTGGGGGGCCAACACTTCTGACTCGTGGCCAGCACTCCTTATGACCTCCATGACGTTTTCTCAGCCGGGTCAACAGTTTTGCCATGAACATCCAGAGTTCATCTGCAGTTCTTGACCGGCGACCGCCAACACATAGGGAGAAATAGTACGGGAGACACCAGGGTCCTTGTCGCCAAGAGTTGTTGTATGGAGCTCCCCTCCCCACAACATGGAACTTTGATTGGCCACACAGTGGTAACTGGCATACTAACAATGACCTAACCTTGTTTTGGTTCGAGGTAATAGGAACAATCCTTTCACTCTATTCTAGTCTATTCTGCTTGATATTCATGGTGCATGTGGTAGTGCGATTTCTTACACCATAAGACTTGTGTAGAGAGGCGTGAAATCCCATGGATTCTTAGAGGGTTCCAGCCCTTGCCGGGGCAACGCACAGCGCCGACGGCGGCGCTTAGCAAGCGCCATGTCTATGGCGCTTGCTGAAAAGCCACGGGTGAGTTTGGACAGGTCCAAGAGTAACCATTTGGAATGCCCAACATCAAGTTTTTGCACATTGTTTGGGCCAAACTACTCACGCCCAACCAGCGAGGCCCCTGGAACTGGTTGAAATAGCAGTTGCCAAAAAAACACCGGCAAAAGGGACAGGTCGGCACAGTGACTGCAGGTTGCGGCTCTGACCTAGGTTGAGGCTAGAAGGATGAGTCAGACCTGCCAGTATGCGAAGTACGGAGCTAGATGGATGCCGGCACACTGCGGTGGCATATGGTGGAACTGCGAGATAGGCCCAGAACAGGAACAGGATTGCAGTCAGTCGTGTCATGTTCCTTTGTAGCTAGCCTGGCCTGGCTCTCTTGAGGACTTCACCTCATCCAAACCCGTGGATTCAGCCGCGGAGCAGTTTGACCAAAGCTGGAGAGACTGCAAGACGAACAAGCAAAATCGGCGCCGTGTCTAGCCAATTGGGCAATAGTCCCGGGACGGACCTTTGGGATTTGGGACGGACCTTTGGGAACAGATTCAGGTCCACACACAGCTTCTGAAGCATCCAAAG